ACATTCGATTCTGTTTATAATTCAGCTTTGTATTTCACATGTTATATCACCACCTCAGCATTAAACAGGTGTATCATACATGATGCAAATTCCAAATGGATATGTGAGCACAGATAGCACGACATTTTGCAGCTGCATATGTAGCCACCATACAGTAGGTGCAGCATAACCAGGGCTGCACATAACTGGTGCGGAGGTGCGCATGCGCACCTCCGCCAAAAAAAGAGCACCGGGTCATTTGAAAAAAGGCGCATTTGCGTACCAACATTGGGAGAGGGAGAGAGAGAAGAGAAAAGAGAGGAGAGAGGAGAGAGAGAGAAAGATATTTGCGAGTTGCATATGAACTCAGGGTCGGCACGTAGCACTGGCGTTATAGATGTTCGCCTAGGGCGCCAGATCCGGGGAGGCGCTGCGCTGGCAGTTCTGGGAGGGAAAAAAACATTTTTGACCGTTGGTGCTAATCCTAATGTTCAGCCTTGATGTAACGACATTCATAATTAAGTAAATGTAACACCCTTTTCACCCCGGTTACACGTTTCATTTGCCCTGTACGATGGGCACTGTAAGTGATGAAAATGGGGGATGTTGGCTTATCTGGCGCCCGCAGCTCACAGCCAAAATACGAGTGAGAGAGTGAGAGTGAGTGAGAGTGAGAGTGAGAGTGAGAGTGAGAGTGAGTGAGTGAGTGAATAAAATAAGTTACATTAATTTTTTATTGGCTATGGTAGGTTATTGGTTATGTTCACATACTTATTTGATTACATCCACTTGTCTAAGATTATCACAACAGAGACTTTCGACCCAAAATCAGCTGTGGATGCAAGCATCTAATCGCAGACTCAACCAGAGAGAAAGAAGTAGGCCTACATCATCAGCTACCATGTCTGACAGAGAGGAAGACAGTGAGGAGAACAGTCAGGAGGGTAGTGATGACAGCTTGTAGGATTACTGGTCGTGCTAATGTTGTCTTGTGTTCACCACTGCATGTGTGTTTAGTGCCGTGTGTCTGGCAAATAAAGTCAAGACCCCCTCAAAAGTGACGGTTTATTTCATTTTAAGGATGAGCACCAAGCAACATCTCCAGGTGCTCCTTTGAGAACCAGGGCAAAAAAGTCATGTGCACCCCTGAGCATAACCCATTAATGCTGAAGAAAAAGCCATCTTAAAGTGGACCTATCATGCAAAATGGATAGAGTATGTGTGTGAAGTAGCAGCAAATTAAAAAAAAAGGAACTCACCTTGTGGTATAACCGGCAAGAGAGAAAGCCTTTGAGCTCCATACTGTTTCAGAAATAATCCTTGATAATCCATGATATGGCGTTTCATCACCGCAGTATTTAGTTTAGACAGTAGCTGCCGGGTCCCGCATGAGCTCAGACCCCTCCTTTTTTATCAATTATACCCAAAATCAGCACTTTTGAAACAGGAAGTGAAATAGAGGGATATGAGGCATGGCTAGAATGGATGATCTGTTTGGTATTTTGAGCAAAACACTTCATAGACATGTTTTTTATATATTTTCATATATCTGAGACCTATGCTATTGCCTAAAAATAGCATGATAGGTGACCTTTAAGTCATGTTTTTCTGAAATCATTACCTCTACAAAACCTAGTTTTTTTTATCACTTTGGTTTGTTTTTATATTTGTTTGTAATAATAATAATAATGCATTTTATTTATATAGTGCTCTTCACAACTCAAAGAGGCTCTACAGTATGAGGGAGGGTAGACAAACAAGGACAGGCAAACAAGTAAGTATAGTAAAATAAAAAGGCAGTCAAGAGGAAGTTGATTGAGAGGGGGTGGGGGCTTATGGGTAGACAGAGTTGAAAAGATGTGTTTTGAGGCGGGACTGAAAGACTGTGAGGGACTCAGAGTCACGGAGATCTTGGGGGAGGGAATTCCAGAGCCTAGGAGCTGCCACTGAGAAGGCTCTGTCCCCAAAGCTGCAGAGTGTGGCTGTGGGAATGGATAGGAGTCCGGCTGCGGTGGATCTGAGGGACCGTGGGGGTTGATAAGGAGTGAGAAGGTTTGTGAGATAAGGGGGGGCCAGATGGTGGAGTGCTTTGTAGGTGAGGACCAGAATTGTGTAGTTGATGCAATGGGAGACAGGAAGCCAGTGGAAATCTTTGAGGACTGGGGTGATGTGATGCCATGATTTGGTATGCGTGAGGAGACGTGCAGCTGCATTTTGAACCCGTTGGAGTCTGTTGAGGGATGTAGTGCTGATGCCGTAAAGAAGTGAGTTGCAGTAGTCAAGGCGGGAGGAAATGAAGGCATGGATTAGTCGTTCGGCTGCGGGGCGGGTGAGAGAGGGTAGGATTTTTGCAATATTGCGGAGGTGGACAAATGTTTTGACTGTTTGCCGGATGTGAGGTTCGAGGGAGAGGGTGGGGTCAAAGATTACGCCAAGGTTGCGTGCCTGATTGGAGGGGGAAACAATGGTGCCATCGATAGTGAGTGTTATGTTAGTGACCTTGCTGAGGGTGGATTTGGAGCCGATTAGGAGGAGTTCTGTTTGGTTGCTGTTCAGTTTGAGGAGGTTATGTTGCATCCAAGTTTTAATAGCTGTCAGACAGGAATCGAGGTGGGTAAGGGGTGGGTTATGGAGAGATTTGGTGCTGAGGTAGATCTGAGTGTCATTAGCATAGCAGTGGAAGTCCAGGTTGAAGTGGCAGAGTATCCGACCGAGGGGGAGGATGTAAATGATGAAGAGGAGGGGGCCAAGTACTGATCCTTGAGGAATGCCTTGGGTGACTGAAGCTGTGGCAGAGGAGTGGTTTGGGAGGGAGATGAAGTGGGATCGTTCAGTGAGGTAGGACTGGAGCCACCTGAGTGCAATACCTTCAATACCAATGTCCCTGAGTCGGGTGAGCAGGATGTTGTGGCTCACGGTATCGAAGGCTGCACTCGAGGTCGAGGAGGATGAGAATATTGAGGGAACCAGTGTCAGCAGTGGTGAGGACGAAATCCAGACTGAAGGGGTTCATAAAGCTGGTTGGTTTGGAGATGGCAGTGAATTTGTTTGGCTACAATGCGTTCAAGAGTTTTTGAGAGAAATGGTAGGTTGGAGATGGGGCGGTAATTAGTGAGGGAGGAGGGATCAAGACCAGGTTTTTTGAGGATTGGAGTAACGGCAGCAGTTTTGAAGGCAGAGGGGACGGTTCCATGGGACAGCGAGGAGTTGAAAAGGTTAGCAAGATAGGGGCAGAGGACGGGGAGGCAGGACTTCAGGAGAGAAGTGGGTAGAGGGTCAAGGGAGCAGGTTGTGGGATTTGAGGAACCGATCAGATGGAGTATTTCAAGTGGGGTAACCAGGTTGAACTGGGAGAGGCGGCGCTGGGGAGAAGGAGTCAGGAGGTCAAGGGAGATGGGGGGAGAAATGGTAGCGGTGGAGGTTGGGGGAGATGCTTGTATATCAGATGGAGCTGAGAAGGAGTGGTTAATGGCGTTAATTTTGTCTGCGAAAAACTGGAGGAATGAGCTGCAAGTAGCGGAAGTAGAAGTAGGGAGGTTATCAGCACGGGTTTGAAGAGCTTGTTAACTGTGGAGAAGAGGGTCCTGGGGTTACGGGAGGGGTCAGTGAAGATGTTGGAGAGGTAGGCAGATTTAGCGGCAATAAGAGCATCTTTGTATGCATTGAGATGGAGTTTGTCGCTTATGTAATGGACTGTGAGGGATGATTTCTTTGAAAGACGTTCAAGTTGGCGGCCTCACTGCTTGTGCGGGTGTGAACCATGGTGAGGAGGTCTTGAAAGTAATGGTTTTATTTTTGAGGGGGGCTAAAGTGTTGAGGGAGGTGAGTAGGGTGGAGTTGAGGTGGTTGAGCAGATCATCAGGTGATCAGTTTGTAATTAGTAGGATAAGGGTAAAACCACTGGCCAGATTTTAGTTAAAGAGACCATATTATGCTTTTAGGGAGTGTTCCCTTTCCTGTGGTGTGTTTATATAGGTTTTAGTGCAATGGTCTCGCTTCTATTGGCTACTGCTCAGACACATGTACGTTATAGGCTAAGGGGTGGGACATCTCTAAGCAGTTGACCAATCCCAACAGAGCCGGTCTGGTTTCAGACAGAGGGTGAAAACATTATTTTGTACTTGGGAAAACAGCTTTGGATTTCCCTGCTAGTGTAGTACACATTTTCCCTTTAGATTTCACTTTTCTTTATTGTTTGCTATTTTTAATATGTTTTACTTAAATGTGCTCTAAATGTATAAATGATGCATGCAATTTGACTTTTTTTCACACACTGTTGCAGTCTTTTGAAGTCACTTTCTCTTCAAGTTGCACACGCCCTCATTTCCTGTGCATCTGTGTCAATCAATGCAGGGCAGTGGCTCATGATGCAGACACACAGGACTCGTGCTGCTGTGTAGTGCTGAGGCCCAGCCTAGAGACTGCTGAGTGCTGACTGATGCAAAATAGAAACACAGGGGTGGAACAGTTAGAGGGAGAGAGAGAGAATGAGTGAAAGCTGAAGCCAGACTGATGGCAAAATAGAAAGAGAGGGATGGTGCACCAGAGAGAAGGGTGGGAGGAAGAAGGGAGAGAGGGAGAGACATTATCGAGCCAGTGTGAGTCAGCAGGTTGACGGAGCTTCAGGGCGCGGCTCCTGCACATCACTGCTACTGTCAGGGTCCCACTCTATGCTGAATGCATCCTGAAGTCCCCCTCATTGTCCCTGGTATAATGTCTGTTTGTTTCTTATCAGATTTAAAATAATAAGTAACATTATTAGCAAGTCAATATCTCAACACATTAAGAATCAAGCGTCAATGAGAAGAGAAGACCTGAAACGCATTGGGAAGATATAGTGTCACTAAAACAGTAGAAAGTGGTAGAAAAGTTCCTGTTCAAGGTCCATAAACCCGGTCCATAAACGGTGGAAACACTAATCAAAATGTTGGCCCTGAACACGACTTAATTATATTCATTGGCAGTCCTTGTTGGACTTGTAAAATGCATAATGTGCGTTTGTGTTTGCCCTGTGTGTGTAGGACCCGGGGACAACGTGCCGCTGGTGTTTGGCCTGGAGGTGACGGACGTGTCGAGGTGGGAGGAGACGGTGCTGAACCCTGCACTGCAGATACTGGACAGCCTCAGCAAGGTGGGGCTTGGCACTCTGAACCAGCTGCTTCATCTGCTGTTGGGACAAACTCACACATCCTCTTCAATGCCTTTTGTTCCTGCTTTTTATCATTCTAACCTTTTTTATTGCTTACTCTGTTTTTTCTACTGCTTTTGTTGTTTTTGTCCTTTCTATCTTCCTTTTTCAACCCGTCTATGTGCCTCTTTTACAATCCGTTTCTTCCCTTTTGTGTACATTCATTCTTAGGTTTTGTCCGTCTCTCTGTATTTAATTCCTAGTATTCCCTTAAAGGTGGGGTAGGTAAGTTTCAGAAACCGGCTCGTGATACACTTTTTGTTATATTCCATGGAATGCTCTTAACATCCCGATAGCAATGAATATCTGAAGTGCTTTGACAAAAAACCCATAAAAAAACGTCATCTGTGGAAGCCGTAATACTGTAAAAAGTACAACCAATCCGTTTAGCCGGGCCGGCTAAACGGATTGGATTGCCGCCCTGTCTGTCAGCCTTCCATCTCGTGCACGCACAAATGTATCTCGTGCCGTCATTGGGCGTGCATTGCGCGTCCATGTGTGTTGGAGGAGGTGCTCTGTAAGGAAGTCTGAAGGAAGGGGCGGATTCTTTTCGGCTGTGTACTTTCAAATTTTAGTGCACTCGAGCCGGTTTCTGAAACTTACCTACCCCACCTTTAAGCACTTGCTTTTGTTCCTCGAGTCCACACACACACACACACACACACACACACACACACACACACACACACACACACACACACATACACACACACACACACACACAAACAGGCTCTCAGAAAATATTCATAATATTTTTTTTAACGATGAATCAGTAAAAAAGCAAGAACATTCTTGTGAGTTCATAAAATGACATCACTTTACTGAAATGCAACCTTAAAACCAGGAACCTTATGCAATGCAACAATATCCAAATCTAAGATGATATCAAGTCTCATATCACAATATATCTATATAATATCAATATATTTTGCCTTACCCTTCGTAACATGAAACTTTTTTTGTTGCATATCTTGTGTGATCATTTTGTTGATCGTATAATATTTCCCATAATGTCTTTGTTGATTGTCTAACTAGTCATTTCAGTGCAGACTTAATCAAATAAATGATTGGTGAATATCTGCCTGACAGTTTACCTAATCAGTCTGAACATGTCTGTAGCATTCTTCCGTAAACGTTATTTTGAGCTACTTGTAACCAACCGCCTACTAGACCAAATCACATGACCATCACGAACTTAAGAACTTAAACTTGAACGGCTTGTTTTATGACCTCAAAATGCTTCATATGTCCTCATTTATAGATAGATAGAATCAGAGGGAAGAAACCCCTCTTTAATGGTCACACATGCAGAGCACACAGCACACACAGTGAAATGGGGCCTCTGCATTTAACCCATCCCAGTACCAGGAGTCTAGTACTAGGAGCAGTGGGCAGCTATTGTACAGCGCCCGGGGAGCAATGGGAGTGGGGGGGGGAGGGGGTTGTCCGGTGCCTTGCTCAAGGGAAAACAGGAATTACTTAGAATGTTCTGTCCTATACTCCTTTCTTTTAACTTCTTACTGTAACTTATTCTTCCACCACTATACCTCTATACATTGTGTTACATGCTTTCTTCCCTTTTCCCCTCCTTTTCCTTCCATTACTTTCAACTTTACACATTTATTTATGCCTTTTCCAACTATCCCACACTTCTTCCAGCTTCGTAGTTCTTAGTTAATAGCTTTATTTCATAGACGCTCTATTGAAGGAACCATGTGGAGTTTTTCCTCTCATTCTCTCCAGTCGCGTATAATAAATTGTGGGTTTCGTTATGGACTCGGCTCATTAAAGACGGCAAGTGCAGAGTTCCTGAAACTGGTATGTCTGACAAAGATAACATCAGGTGTACTGTTTGGAGATGCAGGGGTTAAAGCAAGTCAATAAATAATTAGTGCTAAAGAGCAGTGCTAACTACAGGTGCTAAAAAAACTCCCCTTAAGGACATGTACACGCTAACCTCACGCTGACCTCACTAAACTATTTGAAAAGGTTTGTGGCGTGTTTGACACTGGAGCATTTTACAACATGGCCCAGTAAACTGTTGTTGACTTGTGTGTGTTGTTGGCACAACAGCCATGTGTAATACTTAAAGCTTAACTAATCCCCCTCAGAGCTTTGAGTTCAGGGGAATTTCAGACAACCGTTTTAGAAAGAATACTTTGACTCGGGTCAGAGGTCATTCTTCTGTTTTTTGCTACCAGCCAAGATAAAAAAAGTTGTAATGGCATTTATCGGTTTGAAGAAAAGAAAACATCTATTCCCTCAATTTTTCCCTTAAAAATGTATCAAATATATAATAATAGTCTTCAAGGTTTTGTCTCCAAGTTGAAATTCCAGTTTGTTTGTACACTAGTGCACATGTGACATGGCAACACACACAGCTATACCCCAACAAAGGCACTGATGAAGAAGACTACTGGATGATATAAACAATGCACATTTGAATCATAAAAAAGAAATAAAACTCTACAGTGCATATTTTTTCACAATCTATCAGGGTGAGGAGCCAGCGATTCAGCCAATCAGAGTGCAGGGGGAGGAGCAGCGGAACAAACGGAGCCGAAATACGTGTGATCTGTGTGATAAGATCATCATCGGAGACCTGGAGTGGACAGGTGAGGCATCTGCTATATAAAAAACATATTATTACTCTTACATGCAGTGCTGTTTATCAATTTAGATTTTCTTTTGGTGTGGGTGTTCGAGATATGAGCTGTTGACATGTCTGCCTTTTCTTGAATATATATATATATATATAATATAAGGGAACTAAATGGCACTTAGCTCATCATGCCTAAAGCACAAATAAAAATACATCTTTGAAAACTCATCTTTAAATGTTGTCATACTCCAAGGGCAAAAAAAAGGTACCTACAAAGGCCACAGTGTCATAAAGAGTGATGACAAACCTGATCACCCCTGATACCCTGCCTCTTGAAACCAAATCCCTATTTATTTTTCTTGTTGATGAATCATGTTCATGACTCATTGAGGTGAAACGGTCCCATGTCATGCCAAATATATCCAACACTGTCCTCTTGTTTCTTTTCTTTACCTGCAGCTCACCTGAAATCCAAAAAGCATCACCATCATGTGAGGAAGAAGAGGAAGACTGACTCAGGCTGTGAGGTCTCCTCCTCTGCTGTGGACAGCGTCTCTGAGGACTCCTCTGCTGCTGTTGCCCCCGGCAGCACAGAAACCTCTCAGGAGTCATCCCCAGTAACCGTGACAACACACAAGGAAGTCCCTGTGACTTTTTAAGGGTGACCGCAGACTCTGGACATCTTCACTCAGGTTCCCAACACTGTCCTGCACAAACAGCTGTTTTCTTACCGTCCTTATAGGGCTGCTAACTTGGTTCCCCTTCTGTTTGATCGTCCTGGAGTACTATGGGATGACACAGGAATTTATGACACTGAATGTGGATGCCAATGAAGATACTCGAAATTCACAACGTATTTTTTTACCTTCATCCGTAAAGTATATAACCTTCAAGCGGTTCATCTTGAGGCTGAAGGACGATTCAACATTGGAGACACAAAGGATAACCTTGACTTTTGATGTGTGATTTTGAAGGTTGCTTTGTTCCCCTTGCCTGTTATTTAAAATAATTAACTATTTTTTCACTTTAAATGACGTGGCTATTTTTCATACTGTCCTTATCTTCAATTTCGTATGTGTTAGCATTTCTGCATTCGAGTTTTTGAGTTTTTTTAAACTTGTCTTTAGCATAATCACATTCTCTTTTCCCTTCATCCACAAAATTAACATTTTCAAAAAAATGAAGGATTTTAAAGTTTGTTTACCAATAGAGGATGTAGTGATTTGATGTGGCAAACTCCACGTCTGTGCCTTTAAACTGCATTATCTCTAATGGCCAGCAGGGGGCGACTCCACTGGTTGAAGTGGGAAGTTTGATTGTATAGAAGTCTATGAGAAAACTGAACTTAATTCTCACTTGATTTGTTACCTCAGTAAACATTTTCCCAATGAAACTTGAGTTTTAAGTCTTCCTCCATGCATCATGATGTTAATTTTGTAAATGTTGTTATTATTTAGAGTAAAATACAAAAGCGTTCAAAGGCTTAATTTGTCGAATGCACAATAGATTCAGCTAAGTTCTGGCAATGAAGGTCTTTAGTCCCAGACTGATCGAACAATGCGAACTAGACGATAAAGCAGGGTATGCTTTCGGAAAGGGGGGCTACCCTGCCATTGATAGGTTGCTACCACCGTGTTGGTTTGCCTATGTGTTTGTCTTACGACTTTTACCCTTTCAGAATGTGTTTTCAGTTCATGCTCCAACTGTTTGTGGTTCCAAAAAGCCAAAACGCCCAAAACTCAAGGTTTGAAAACAACAGTCCACGATAAATCGGTGACATCACAGTGACTACATCCACTTCTTATAAACAGTGAGTGCTTATGTGTCACTCAAGTGATTACTAAATGAAATCGGAGAGCATTTCAAATCAGCTTTAATGTACCTTTCTACCAGTCACCGCAAAGCTTACACAGCACAAAGTGTTCGCATTAAATACGTTTCCCCAGCCCTTTGTGTGATAACGACTCGTCACCTGATGAGTGCTGTTGTCTGTCAGCGCAGCTTAGCGAGCGCATTTCTGTTCTGACAGTGCTATAAATGGCCGACTGCTAGCAGAGAGTGTGTTTGCACGTCTTTGTTTATCCAGCGGCTTGTCGTACCCTCTTTCAAACCAAGGTGTGCCCGCCTGCTGCCAAACCACTTACACAATCGCTGGCATGGCTCCAGAAACCCTCGATTGGCGCTCCCTTTCCCTCGCCTCACCTGCCACTCTTTCTTCTCACATACCCTCCCTCCCTTCCTCGGAGTTGGACAATTGTTCCACATTCCCGGCTAACACTCCATCATCTCTTTCTTCAAGTCTTCAGTCCGGGTTTTAGACGTTTTCTTTCAGCGTTGTTCACAGGCTCCCAGTGTTTGACCTCATCCACATGACTACAAATATTTCCAGCCGTATAATAGCTGGAAATATGTGTGTGTGTGTCCCACATTTCCAAACTGGGTCAGGCCTCAAGCTTACTGGAGGCTTACCAAACACTATGTATTCACACTGATAGCAAAGGTCACTGCAACCGGTGTCTGTTCTTTATCCTTTCTGTGTTTCCATTTGTTTTTCTTTCCTTCTGTTGGATTTTTAAATCAGGCAGACTATTTCCGTTTCCCCTTGGGTGTCCCCTCTGTCATCTATAATTACAGAAACAATGAGAGCGATTTATAAAGAATAAGAGGAATTCTTATCATGAGTCAAATGATTTTAAAAGCCTCACATTTTTGTAACTTTATGTGCGGTATGTTCTTATCTCGAGTGCCTCAGAGATCTGCCCTGGCACCTCCAGGCACTACTGAATCACTCGGTGTAAAAAAAAAAAAGAAAAAGGAAGCTTGTGCAACTCAATGACATAAGGCCTCCTGGACAGAAGTGGAGAACTGGGGCAGCGTCCGTGGTCACAAGGCTAATGAGTGATTTACTGCCATGCAATGGATCATCTATGGACACACACACACACACATGTAAAATGCACTGAGTGAACTCATTAGTTGCAGACAGTGAGCACAAAGAATAAACATACCTCTTTGAAACCGGCAACTGTGGCCTCCCACACAAATACCTGCTGTGAAAGTGGATTTTTCTGCTTTCCTGAGTGTTTGATTTGATGAGCGCTGCTACTTGAGCTACTTGACTGTGTATTTACATGTATAGCTGCATCTGTCAGCGAGCGGCGCGTTTATTCGCCCCGTTTGAGCGCTCCATTTCTGTCTCTCCCGTTCTCAGTCTAGCTCCATATAGCCGCTCAGTAGCTGTACATGTTCACAGAGCACACACTGTCTGCATGAGGCCCACCGGGGGGGACTTCAGGACTGCTTATGTAACTCACTCTGCAGCCTATAGATGCTGCATGTCTGTGTCTCGACTGTTTGCAGTGGACTTTTGGCCTCTTGTTCTCTCTTTTCTGTGTATTGCACTTATTGCACCTTCACACTGACTTGTGTCATGATGCATATATGATGGTGATAACAGCTGACATTATCATCCTACAGTATGCCTTCAATTAACATTTATTTTCACTATTGAGTCTATCTAGAATAATGAAACATGTCAATCCCAGTTTCTCAAGGTCTAAGGTGACGTCTTTAAAAGTTCTTCTCTGAAACTCAAACATACAATATTCAGTTTATTGATATAAAACAGTGAAAAGCAGGAAATCTCTACAAATGAATCTTAACATTTATTTTATCAGGAAATATTACATTACACATACATTTGAATATCAAATGCATCAACTAATAGATTAATTGAATACTCGATGCTCTAGGAAATAAGTTTGAGATGATATGTAGGTTTTTTTTGTCATGTATCGAGAAAGTTGGCAACATTAGCTGGTTTGTTTTCAAATGTGAAAAAGATCCTGTATATTAAATATTGTTTGAGCTTTTGGCTTTAAATCGAACAGCCAAACAATCTAAAGGATATCAATTTGTGTGCAGAATAAATATAATTACATAAATGTTATAGACGCTAGCAGTTCGAGTTTTTGGGGAAAAAACACAGTTAAAAAATTAGATAAAATAATCTATACCACCTTTGATGGTGGTATAGATACGACACGGTGCTGTTGCCGCAGATATGCAGCTGGATGCTCCTATTTTTTTTCCAATCAGAAGAAATAATATCATTTTAAAATAAATTAAATCAACATTGTGTTTCAAGTCGTTGGTTTATTAAGTAAACCGGATAATATACAGTGAGGCAGTTTTTTTCAGAATTTTCCCTTATTGGAACATTTTGAAACAGTCAAACTACGTTGTTAGTTTTTTGTTGTTTGTTTGAATGTTACTGATGCTAATGACAGTGTTTGTTGTTGAACTCGCCCGCCTTCCTCTCCCCAGAGAGCTCTGCTGTAATAGTGTCATCCAGTGACTGTGCGTCTAGGTAATTTGAAGTCCACTTAATCCTAATCTTTAATCCCATTTGACTAAACATTCCCTGCCATCTGGCCATGGTGAGACAAAAACACACGCACCTACAACACACACACACACGGGCAGCTAATCAGATAGAGCAGCAGCTGTGGTCCAAGACACTGTTGACTTGACTACCAAGAAGAAAAACCTTTTGTTTTAAAAAAAAAATACAGCTTTGCTAATGTGGAGCGTAAACATGTTTTTACAGATAATACAGAAGGCCGAATACTAGACACCACACAGTTTTGTGATCTTGTAGAACTATGTGGAACGTGAAGGACCTTATTAAGAATGTGTAATGTTTGTCACTGGAGGCAACACAGTGAAGATAAGGAAAAAGGTCAAATGTGGCTGCCAGCTGTTGTGTGCATGAATTTCTTTGAGCTTTAACTTGAGTATCGAGTATACAATCTGATTCGATGTGTGCCCTTTAACATTATTTACACATTGATGTCTTTTTAAAGATGCATGTTTCCTGGAATGGGAGTTTCCTCCGTTCAGGGTCAGTGATTTGGAAGAGGACAAAAAGGATTCAAAACTTGGGTGTTGCATAGCCAAGTAAGAATCACAACACTATCAGGAGTGACTCCATCAGATAAAAGAGCATTGTGTTGTCTGTGCGTGCACGAGACATGTCTCCTTTTTGGCATGTTACAGATTAGACATTTATTAATAAACACACCACAAGCTGCTCTAGTGTTTCTCCCCGCGTAAGTGTAATAGCTGTGTTTGTACCTGTATGCATTATGGATAACACACACTCATTGCCAGAGAGTGCGAGTGTGTTTTCGGGCCAGAGACGAGGTTTTAAAATGTTTCAATGCGATCTGATGTATGCATCCAGAGCCAAGTGCATGCAGACCATCATTTATTGATGTGTGTGTGCGTGCATAGGGACGAATGAGGTTCAATGAGTTTATGCAGCTCCCTCTCTTTTTGCAGCGCTGTCTGGCTCCCTTAGTGGCGAGGAAAGCGACAGAAGGACGAGGAGATGTGATGAGATGTGAAAAGCCTCTCAGGAAGTGACATAGGTGCAGTGTTTGTACGGCTTCCTATAGTCTCTCTCCGGCTCTGCTGCATATTTCCTGCCTTGGTTATGTAATGCGGGGGCCGCTCTACTTTTTCCCCTTCTTCTTCTTCTTCTTCCTCTTCTTACCCTTTCTCAATCTAGAGCCTGACGTGCCTTCCTGTTTGTCCAGCAACCCAGTGAACTCTTTTCCCAGGGCAACACTTAGGAGAAAACACACACACACACACACAGAGGGCAGACTGTATTGCTTATTGTGTGTGTGTGTCTGTGTGTGTGTGTGTGTGTGTGTGTGTGTGTGTGGTGTGTGTGTGTGTGTGTGTGTGTGTGTGTGTGTGTGTGTGTGTGTGTGTGTGTGTGTGTGTGTGTGTGTGTGTGTGTGTGTGTGTGTGTGTGTGTGTGTGTGTGTGTGTGTGTGTGTGTGTGTGTGTGTGTGTGTGTGTGTGTGTGTGTGTGTGTGTGTGTGTGTGTGTCCATATTATAATAAACCCTCTCCTGCCCATTCCATTTCTTATTGTGGTGCATTTGTTTTTCACCTTTGCACCCATGCAGGAGATAGGTGTGCTGGCCCATAAAACATCGACTGTGTGTGTGTGTGTGTGTGTGTGTGTGTGTGTGTGTGTGTGTGTGTGTGTGTGTGTGTGTGTGTGTGTGTGTGTGTGTGTGTGTGTGTGTGTGTGTGTGTGTGTGTGTGTGTGTGTGTGTGTGTGTGTGAGCATGTTCATTTGATTGCATCTGTGTTCACAGGGAGTAGTGTATACTCTGCAGTGTGGCGCATGTGAGACAAAGAGTGTGTATGTGTCTTTACTGTTTTCCATGGTCAGTGGCGCTGTAGCTGGTTTTTTCCCGCCAGTGCGGTGTTTAGTGGGCGGGGCTCCGGCTGGGCTCAGCAGCAACGAAGAGCCAGAGCTTCCCGCCCGATATGCAAATGAGCTGAGAGTGGGCGGGGCCGGGAGCCTCCCCTT